TATCATCAAGGAGATCGTACGGCTCTCCTGTGTAGTTCCGATCTTTGTTCCAGGTCTTCATAAACTTCTTGGATGTCGCTATCGACGATAGCGTTCGGGATGTTATCCGGGGGGAGTTTCATGTATTCTCCAAAGGTTGCAGGGCCGGATAAGTGTTCGGGGATGGGGTTGGTGACGGGTTGGACGAGATCGGGGTTCTGGAAGCGGTAGGAAGTCGGATGAATAGTAAGAGAGGTCGGAGCAGGTTTATCTTGGATAGTCGGAGCAGGAGTAGGTGCGTTAGGAGGGCTCGTTAGGGTCTTAATAGGTTGTGGTTCGTTAAGACCTTGATGAGGTGCTGCTAAGGGCGTAACTGATGGTGAAGGAGGTTGAGACGGATGGGGATTAGTGGAAGCATTTGATCCTAGTAATGCTGTCTGCCTCCTGAAGGCAGCAGTCCTCTCATCAAACACCATCTCCGTAAACTCCTGCTCTGGCCAGGTTTGTGGGTTCTCGATAGTTTGTAATATGAGAAATTGTGTTGCGAATTTCCCCCTTTGTGAACCTGTGTAGATACCTCTTTTCCTTAGTAGTTTCCTGAGGGCTCTCTTGTATTCATTCGGGGCGCGGTCCCATGTGTCTTCGGTCCATTCTTCAAAATGCTGTTGGAAGTAACCAAGGAGGTCGTATCCTTGATCACTGCCAGATTGAACGATGAATATGAACTTTGCCACATATGTCGTTACTGCGATCTTGTCCTTTTCGTCGTGTGTGATATCGTTGTCCCAAAGGTCGATATTAATTTGTCGGAATGCGGATGCTTGGATGTCTAGTGCCTGCATCTGGTCGCATATTTCTTCGAGCTGGGCTTCTGGGGACATAGCTCGGGCGGTCGGGGCTATCGTGATCAAATGAATGAGACGATGTGGGGTTCGTATTGGTCTCTTCGTATACGAGTTGTCGCTAATAGGAGGTCGAGCGTCGCGTACTAAGTAGGTCGTTCGCGGCCAGACTGAACTGACGGGGATCTTGCTACTTAACGTCAAGGGTCGAACGTTCTTACTAGTTGTTTGCGATGTGGTCGCCTGTCGATTCCGGTGCTCACGGCTAGGCAAACTAGCGGGCGATCGTAATCAACAGTTGGAAGGACTCTCGCGCGGCTGGGCAAACCAGCGGGAGATTCCTTGTTCTTAGCACAAATAACCTTCTTCTGAGCGCTACTCAGGGCCACAGTAAAGTGACGCGGACTATAGCACCTTCGAAGGTTGAGGAATTTGTCTCTTCTACTTAGCTGTCTGTGACGGGCGTGGGCCGGTCACTGATCAGTGTGGGTAGGCACCTGCGGCAGCTGCTGCAATGAGACGGTACTAGGGTTAACCTGATGTTGTATTCGTCTTGATTCTCTATCTAAGGAGGCAGAGGCCAGCGTGGAGAAAGGGGGCACGCTGCCCTCAGCCGCACACGTGACCGTACGGGTCACGTGCCAACCATGGTTGGTCACACCACTAGATAGATACATTCCTACATTAATACTATTTATTAACTTAAAATCTTAATAGTTTTATAAATAAGTAGCTTAAGAGTAATTTTAATTTAGTAAGGAATTTAGTAATACCTAGATTATAGCTAGATATATCTTAGTTCCGCTAATATTTATATTTAAAGGAGGTTAGTCGTGCTAGTATTCTTAGGAGGTCTTAGTAGAGGTCTTAGCTAGTATTTTAAGCTAGCTCTATTCCTTTAATTCGCGATTAAATAGTAACTAGTAGCCCGTGAAATATATAATAATATAGAGAGTAATAAGCAATTCTTACTCTATAAGATAAGGATTTTCTATAATTAATATACTACCTATTAGCTTATATAATTAGGATAGTATATAATAGCTGCTTTATTATAGTAAGAAAACACCTTTCCTTATATTAGACTACTATGTTTATAAGGGAAATTAGCGGGTAAATATATAGACCTTCCTCCTTAAGACTACCCTTATTAATAGCTACCTTTTATAGCTTTAGGGGCAGCTAAGTTAGCCGCGAGTAACCTTATAGCGCGAGTAGCGGTAACGCTTAATTAAGGATCTTTATAAGACTTATAGAAAAGATAGCTTAAGTTAGCTCTTTTAGGCTAGCGACGCCTTTACGCTTATATCGTAATATAATTATATCTCTTATTTAAAAGGGTCGCCTTACGTTGCCTACTAGGGCTTTAAAGCTAGGCAGCTAAGATTATATAGTTAACGTAAGCTATTAAGCGCGGCTAGCGGCAATAAGAAGCCGGCTATAAAGACTTATAAGGGATACGACTAGTATAATATTACTATTTATACCTAGCCGGATTACTAGGACTTTTATTATTATCGCGAAGTATAGCTTAATTTTATAGTTCTTAGAGATATCCCTTAGTATTGTCAGGGCCCTACCTGGGACCCCTGGGTTACCGTGACACACCTGGGGACTACTACGGAAACCGCGGACGGGCAGCTCCGGGCACGGGCAGCTCCGGGCACGGGCAGCTCCGACGGTAGGTACGGGCAGCCCCGTCATCCAGGTCCGAAGCGACAGGGAGGATATGAGGAGGTCACGGCGTTAGGAGTTATGTGGTTTTTTTCCTCTTCATCTTAGTATTCTTTCGTTACAGAGTATCTTGCTAGCTTTGTCTGCAGTCCCCTTTCGCTCGCCGTGACATAATACTAAGATCGCCCTTACCGACCCCAATACCCATTTGCGTTAATTGCTCTGCCAATTGCGCTAAGTGGTTATTGCCGCCGGTCACGCCGCACACCCACCCTTACCCTACGTGGAAGATTCCAAAGATATCAGTTAGAAACTGATCTTCCGTCCGCTAGTACGCGTACGATGGCTCCTACGACGAGCGAGACTCCGGCCAGCCTAGACGGGCCCGCCGACGACCACGACTGCATCGAAGTACAGATGGCTAGTCAGAAGAACGAGAGACAACCTGATCCCCTACTTGAGGGACGAACGACAATGCAGAGACCGTTAGAAGAGACGGCTAGAGTGGGCCGCGACTTCCAGGTCCCCCAGAAACTGACAACAGACTTGCACGAGCTCCTCCTTACGGATTCCGACCAGGACCTCGTCCAGCAGTTCGCACACACCGTCCTTGCCGCGCAGGAGAACCCTACCCCCTTTACAGCAAAGACAGGCCGCACGAGCGGGACCCTGACGCGGCCTGGGTGAAAGCGTCATCGCGAATGCGAAACATGAGGGCCTTGCTAGGGAACTGCAACACTTAGTCAACGAACGTAACGCGGCGTTACAGTTACTTCGTTGGACGGTCGAACGGTCCAGCACCCGAGAGAAGGTTGCCCGTCAGATCCTCGAACGAGCCCTCGCGAACCAGAAGGAGCTAGGCCGTCAGGCTAGAGCTCGCCAGCAAGATCTTATGGATTACACGGACCAGATCCGTGCGATCGAGGCGAGCTATGCAGGCATCAAAGACTCTGGGGCGCTCCGACAGGATACCCCGGGCCCTCAGGAGCACCACACACCCCACGACCTCACGCCATCTCCCCGTCTGAAGAACGAACCCTCGCAGGCGCCATCGTCGACTACGTCCACAGCCCGGACCCGGCACAATACAATCAAGATCAAGGACCCGGAGCCCTTGGACAATGGATCGAATCCGCGTTACGCTGACTGGAAGGCAGCAGTGGAGCGGAAGATGGAATTAAACGCCTACTTCTTTCCCGACGAATTCGCTAGGATTACGTGGATCGCGACCCTTATCAAGGGACAAGCGCACGAGGTCCTAGCGCCCTACCTCGCGAAACAGGACGACCTCGAGATCAGATCCGTGGGTCAGATCTTCGAGCCCTTGGGTCAGTTTACGATAACAAGAGCCACAAGTGGGAGGCGAGGCAGCGGCTGGATAGCCTGAAAATGAAACAAGGGGAGTCCTTTATCGACTTCGCAGCGAAGTTCGTAACCCTTGCGACAAAAGCAGGACTCCATGACCGAGACCGGATCACAGAGCTTCACAAGAAGCTCACCGGTCGGATCCGCCTAAACAGCCAAGATATCTACGAGCGGTACGAGGAGCTTACGTTTGCTCAATATCGTGACCGGATGACTGCCCGGTATCTTGTTCAGGTTGACGCGTTAGAGGGACTGAAGGAGGACCGAGAGGAGGTTGCGAAGACTAGGATACCGACCCCAGACCGAGGAATAATCCGCCTCCCTCGGTCAAAGGCAGTCCGATTCGCTCCCCAAACCGAGTTACGGGCCCAGCGACCTCGACCCCGCCGACTACCACGTTGCCGTCTGATGGTACCTTTGGGAACTGTTTCGTTTGCAAAAGACCGGGCCATCAGGCTGCCGTCTGTCCGACAAAGGGATCCCCACGAGTGGCCGCACTTGTGGCGGCAGTGGGGACGGTAAACGACCAACTGAGAGCGTTATTGGAAGGGTCGGACAGCGAAGGTAGCGAGTCGCAGGACGATCAAGATGAGGAGTTCGAGGTAGCGGAAATGCCATAGCCTGAGCAAAGGCTCCCGCACAGGCTATATCCTAAGTATTCGCAAGCTTACTGAGAACCTGAACTTATCGACAATTGATCACTTAATTGGCGGTCCTAGTTTTGTGATTAATAGCACGATTCGCAAACATGGTCTCGCTATCTCAGTACGCATCCTTGTGGATACCGGAGCACAAACGTGGCTATTAGGCAACTCACGCCTAACAAAGCCAGCAGCTAAACGACTCGACCTCCTAGACGCAGCTATACAGCGCCGCGTTATATTAAGGGAATTGATGGTCGTGCTCAGTGTATCACTTCTTCTATCCAAGCAGACTTCCAGCTCCAGGGCGGACTTTCCGCGATCAACCGATCCTTGAGGCCGACCTAGGACGAGGAACGATTTCCACCTGATCGTAGGACTTATGTTCTTGAGCCATTTCGATATCCGTCTCGACTGCCGCCGTCGTCGCCTTATCTTCCCTCCTGAGCTGGAAGCCCAGAGGACTGGATCCCGGATATTGCACTTAAGGCTTCGTCTTATGTACCCGAAGCCAGTTTCCCTACGAGTTCAGGCCGACGTAGAGCGGCGAGACCACCTTTGGGAAGAAGCAGAAAGACAGGACCAGGAAGAAGACGGCGCGGCCCATATCATCCAGATCTCTCCCGCGATACAGGAACCAACAGGGGCCACGAGCACCATCGGCCCACGGCAACATCGTCCACGGTACTCTACTCATCGAGGGGATGACCTGGGGAAGATGAACCGAGCACTGGCGGGCATCGAGTGGAGAGACCCCTGCCAGAAGGATATCAGGCCACGGTACCAACGGAGGGCGCAGGATCTCGATATACTGATGATTTCGGCACCAGCATTCCACGCAGGTATCCGTCGCAGGAAGGACCATCGGCATGCCTACGAAGATGTGACTTTCCTCAACCTTCACATGATCGATAAGGCGCTCGGGGAAAGGGGCGAGCAGGATAACCAACAGGACGAGGACGACCGTTTCTCGCAGAAAAGCTACCTCCAGAGCTCGCAGACCTAGCCGACGTGTTCTCCCGCGAGGACAGCAATAGGATGCCTCCGTCCCGCCCAGGGTAGACCATAAGATCGAACTAACAGGGCCTGCTGCGTTACGAACGCACCCATTGTACAGCCTTAACCGCGAACAGCTGGAGACTATGAAGGAGTATTTACAGGATAGTCTCCAGAAGGGCTTCATTGAGCCAAGCAGCGCACAGTTCGGATCCCTGTCTGTTTTGCAAAAAGAAGGATGGCAAGCTGCGTTTTTGCGTAGATTTCGAACTCAATCAGCTAACTAAGAAGGATCGGTACCTATCCTCTTATTAGCGAGACCCTAGACCGCATTGCGAAGGCGAAGATATTTACGAAGCTAGATATTAGGCAGGCGTTCCACCGGATCCGCTCGAACCGGATTCAGTCGAACTAACCGCCTTCCGCACGCGTTACGGCCAGTTCCACTACAAGGTCCTTCCTTCGGGTTATGCAACGGGCCTAGTACGTTCCAACGGTTTATTAACACGACCCTTTGGGACTACCTCGACTCTTTCTGTACGGCCTACCTCGATGATATCCTCGTGTTCTCCGAAGATAAGAAGGAACATATGCGACACGTACGGCTCGTTCTAGAGCGACTTCGGGAAGCGGGTCTTCAAGTAGACATCAAGAAATGCGAATTCGGTGTCACAAAGACGGATTTCTGGGTTTATTATTAGTACGGATGGTATCTCCGTCGACCCTAGGAAAGTCTCGGCTATCCTGACCTGGCAGACCCCACGATGCAAAAAGAGCTGCAGTCCTTCCTCGGATTCTGCAACTTCTACCGTCGGTTTATCCGTAACTACGGTAGAATCTGCCGACCCTAAACCGCTTGACAGGGAGAGTAGGTGGGATTTCGACGACCGGTGCCTTGAGGCCTTCGAGACCCTAAAGACAGCTCTAACTACCGCGCCAGTCCTCGTCCACTTCATAGAGGACCGCGAGACGAAGCTAGAGACTGACGCGTCGGATGGGGTTATCGCGGGCGTGCTCTCACAACTAGCGGACGATGGACAATGGCACCCGGTCTCGTTCCTTACGAAAACGATGAACGCAGCGGAGTGTAACTATGAGATACACGATAAGGAGCTCCTGGCTATTATCGTGTGCCTGAAGGAATGGATGCCCTTGTATCCCTAGTCGCTCCCGGAGTCATCAAGATCTTCACCGACCACCAAGCCCTCCAGTACTTCGCTACAAAGAGGATGCTAAACGCACGGCAAGCTCGATGGATCGAGACCCTTGCTATGGTTGGATTCGAAATCCACTATCGCCCGGGCAAGCAAAACGTCGTCGCCGACGCTCTTTCCCGCAAGGCCCAGGACGTGCAGTTACAGAAGGCGCTCAAGGAGTTGAACCGCTCGCAGATCCTAATCCCAGCAACTCAGTTTGCAGGGGGCACGACGGGAGGGGCTGCTATAGCCGCAGGCGCCGCAGGCGGAGACGACCCTACTATTGCCATATATACCCCGGTTCCGCAAGACAAGCCGAGACCCCAAACTCTAGAGATGGGTGCCTACTGGAAGGATTCGAGCTTATCGAAGCGATCCTCCAGGCAAACCGGGCTTCACCTCGCTACGCTCCGAAAGGAGCAAGCAGAGATACCAGACTCCCGGTTCCAAGTCCAGAGTGGCCTCCTCTGTTACGATGGACGACTAGTCGTCCCCGACGAGGCGAACCTACGGACTGCCCTTTGTCACGAGGCGCACCGTCCGCGAAGTCAGGCACATCCCGGCCGGAATAAGATGAGGAAGATCTTAACGAGACGGTACTACTGGCTCGGGATAGGAGGTTTTATTGACCGTTACTGCGCGAACTGCGCGGACTGCAAGCGGTCCCAAGACTCCCGCCTCCGACCAGCGGGACTACTCCAGCCACTGCCAATTCCGGAGCGCCCCTGGCAGCACATCTCTATGGACTTTAAGACAATGCCACGAGACAAGAAGGGGTATACGGCGGTCTTCGTTACGGTCTGTCGGTTGAGCAAGAGGACGTTCTCCTACCGACATATACGACCTGTACCGCGCAGGATATGGCCTGGCTTTTCTACGAGCATATCTGGAGGACCTACGGCGCACCGGAGACCATTACGTCAGATCGCGGGCCGCAGTTTATTTCGAGCTTTTGGAACGAACTTTGTCGCCTCGTGGGGACGAAGATGAAGCTATCTACGGCCGAACATCCTCAGACGGACGGTCAGACCGAGATAATAAACCAGTTCCTACAGACAAAGCTCCGTCCCTATCTAGACTACTACCAGGATAACTGGTCCGAAATGCTCCCCTGCTTGGATTTCGCACTCAACCCACCCACACGAGAGCATCGGTCTAGCACCTGCGGAGCTTGAGATGGGATACTTACCCCGAATGTCGTTCGACTGGTCCGTGGCGCCACCCACAGCGACGGCCCCCCCCAGAGAGCAGCTAGGGCGAACAGCGGCGCAGCAGTTCGCCTCCCGGGCCGCCGAGGGGGTCCGGTGGGCGAGGGAAACCCTACTCACCAAGCAGGCGGAATACAAGCGGCAGGCGGATAAACGCCGTAGGGAGGTCGACTGGGAGGTAGGCGACCTGGTATACCTGAAAAAGGACACTGGTCAACGGGACGCCTGAGTGACGGCTTGGATCAACCCTACCTAGGCCCGTTTCGGGTCTTATCGGCTAAGGGGCCAAACGCTTTCGAATTGGACCTACCACCAACGATGAAAATCCACCGGGTTATTAACGCTAGCCGACTACTTAAAGCGCCCTCGGATCCGGTACCAGGACAGACCTACGAACCGCCCCGCCGGTAGTCATACAGGGGAATCCGAGTGGAGATCGACCAAGTCCTTGCATCCAGGATTGCCAGGGAAAGCTGCAATACCAGGTTAGTTGGAAGGGTTGGGACCCGGACCCAGATTGGTATCTAGCGAGTAACTTCAAAAACGCTCCGCTAGCCCTACAACACTTCCACAACGCCCACCCCGATAAGCCTGGCCCTCCGGGCCGCTTAGCTGCATGGATCCAAGCAGCGGCGACGGACCAAGTCGCCCTAGACACACCAGATGACGACCTCCCGACTCAACGGTCTGGGCACGGGCAGCTCCGACGGTAGGTACGGGCAGCCCCGTCATCCAGGTCCGAAGCGACAGGGAGGATATGAGGAGGTCACGGCGTTAGGAGTTATGTGGTTTTCTTTCCTCTTCATCTTAGTATTCTTTCGTTACAGAGTATCTTGCTAGCTTTGTCTGCAGTCCCCTTTCGCTCGCCGTGACAAGTATAAGGGACTAAGGAAGCTAAAAAACACCTAGTATAGAAGAAAGAGGAAGGAGCTAAAAAGAGGTATAGAAAGGAGGGTAGGGGTATAAGGGGAAGTAAAAGTAGTAATAGCTTCCTATAGAGGTAGCGAAAGATAAGACGGATATACCGGCAACGGCTAGAAAAGAAGGGAAAAACCGGTAAAAAGCTTAGTAGTTAAAAGGATATTAGTAGCTTCTTTAAGTAGGATCTTCTTTATTAATTAAGATACTAGATAGGTATAAAGAGGGGCGTTAGATAAAGGAAAGAATAATAATTAAGGTAATATAATAATTATTCCCTTACCGTAATTACTGCCCTTATAAGAATTAAATCTCTCTGCCCTACCTATCCGACCCCTTACTTTTAATTTTACCTTTATATATTTTTATATACTTCTTATATCTCTCTTCGCGAGAGTTATAAGCTTAGGAGGAATAGTATTCCTATACCTTCTAGCTACTATAAAAGGCACCTTTCTTATATCCCTTATAGCTTCCTTTTACCCCTCTTATTAAAAAAGCCGATTTTTACCTAACTTTTCTACCCTTCCCTATAATAATAACGAAAACCGACTCCTCTACCGTCCTTACGGTCTATAGGACGATTCTAGTAGAGCCCTAAGATTAGGATAAGTAGGTAAAGGAGCTATAGGCTCGTATAGATAGAACTATCTATAATTTAGTCTTCTTTAATAAGTAGGACCCTCTCGACCCCCCTCTTCGTCCTAGGGCAACGGACTTTATAGAGGGAGCTACCCTCTTTTCCAAGCTAACCTCTATATAGTAGAAAGCTTTTTCTACTACTCTAGGCGACTACGAGAGTTACCGAAAGGAGTACCTTTATAAGATAAAGCTACTAACTATTATACGTACGGCGATAACGGAATCCGTTAATACCGTAAAGCTAATCTCTCTTTAAGAGGAAGAGACTCCGAGGTAGTAGCTTTTAAAGCTCGAGACCTTAATAGCTCCCTCGAGGGGCTATATAACTAACCGTATTAAGAAGACCTATATAGTATACCTAGGAGCCTTTTCTGCTAGGAACCTACTAGCTTCGTCGTAGCTAGCTAAGTAGGAAGAAATCCTTAAGGAAGCTAACTACTTCCTTATAAAAGCTCTTTCCGGCTACTAGCTATAGGATATATCTCTACTAATAAAGCCTATTAGTAACGGTTACTCGACTATCTTTTAAGAAGCTAGCTAGGAACTAAACGAAGAGGCTACTAGAGTATAATATTAAGTAGTCTTATTCCTTCGTAGCTAGTACTCGACCTAGAAGGCTCGACCTACTGCCCCTATAGCTACGGCAGCCTCTATTACTACGGCCCCCGCTACTGCTACTACGGCTATTGCTCCTTCGGCTCTACCTCCCTCGAGAGCATTAACACCGTCTTTAACGGCTGCCCTAGGCCCGGCTCTACCTCTTGCTCCGGGCCCGGCCCCGGTCCCGTTAGTTAGACCGGCCCGACTAGTCCCCTAATAGACCTTTTAGTCCGTTAGTCGAAAAATCAAGGAACTAGTCGAAATCGAACCTCTTTATTAAAATTAGTAATAAGGGGTAAAAAGGGGGGGTTTTTAAGTAGACCTTCTAGAAAGGGACGAGGATTCCTCGAAGCGATAATATATAAGGAGAAATCGACCTACCTACTAAGTATATAAGAAGCCCTATCGACTAGAAGACTGCTAGTAGGTCTTTAAGGAAAACCGAC